AAAAGTAAGTTCTTAGATTTTGTGCATTTATATATAGATAGTTATTTTTACGCCTACGTTAGGTAGGGTGCCACACTTTCCACAGCAAAGCATTATGGGAATCTGAGACCCTCGTACATATGTATATGAATGTATTAGCCATATATGGTAACCATACATCATTTGAAAGTAAGCGCGGAATCGTTTTTAGTCACTACTAAAGCTTGCCGGAAACTTTCAGATATACAGTGAAAAGATATCTTCAAAAATCGGAAATCTTGTTTGCTTCCATATATGGTATAGGTTTGGTAAGGGAAACCCAATGCTAAAAAACACAGGGATACCGTCCGAACGCCATACAATAATCTTTCGAAATTTCAAATACATACTTGTTTTCTCTTAACATAAAAGATAATGGACTTGATTACTAGGAAGTCTCCCATCATGCTTTGTGCTATTGAAATAGTATTCTTGCACATTTTTTTTTACAGCTACTGCATAAATCAAAACTTTGAAAAAAAGTTCAATTTATATTCCATACTTTCTTTTAGCTGCTAAAATCCCCTACGTGAAGCCTCAAAATATCAAAGGTAAATAAAAACAAATTACTAATAGCACCTCTCTCATTGGAGGAGAGTTAAGCACGTGACGCAATAATACCTGACGCAGAGGTCTCGCAGCTCTAAATATAATTCATTGTGATTGGCTGGCTAGAACAATAGGCTCTATTGTTTATGCCTCGTTCTTTAGAGTCACTCTGTGTTGAGCCAACCAAATACCAGCAATGTTCTTTGGCGCTGCGACCTGACCCACCTGACGCGGAGGGTTACAATCCGTGCAGAGAGTCCTACGCTTCAGAAAAAAATGCCGTTGAATAATAATAACAATTTTAATTGTTATTACTATTAAAAGAGTTAATATCTCGTGTATTTTGTCGTGATAGTTGCTCTTGTAACAGGATGCACCTCGTAACTTGACAGTCGCCCTCGAACTGCTTCCCCGGCAGGATATTTGTTTCTCGTAATATCCAGTTTTGTTGGACAACTATCACAGCATAATGTCTTGGATTCAATTACTATTGTTTAATTGGATTACAGACACTCACAGTGTAAAAAAGCGCTATCCACATAGTGGTAAATAACGCTATCCAGCGCATAAAAAAAATAAGAGGTTATTAACCGAGCGCGAGTTCGGTACGGGAAAATATCAGACCGAGGTCTTGACAGTACGGACCGAGCGCAGCGAGGTYCGTACATAAMAGACCGAGGTCTGATATTTTCCCGTACAGATCGAGCAAGCGAGGTTAATAACTCGTTTATTATATGACTTTTACATCGTAGATTATGTAGAAGAATCACTCAAAGTATATAGGAAAAGTCTCACTTGTCAACTTGCAACACGTTGAGTTTTTCTTCCAATATGATCCTTTTCGGGCTATCTTTAAATTGTGGKGAATACTTATCGAGCATTTCTAAGCTGGATTGATGCCGTCTGCATTGAAAACAACTGTACCGACGGTCAACTCGGAAAAGAGCGGGAAAATCAAGTGCTAAGACGCGAGCGCGGACAAAAAGGYGGGAGTAGTTGAAATTGAATCATCTTTCTTTCAGATCATTAAAAAAATGGATTTTGTTTGAATTTTTTTATTGCAAAGAAAGTCTCAAATCTGATAAACAAAGTTGTCTTGATTCSCTCGATCCAACTTACTGCACGACCATCAAATTAGCAATTTTCGGTCCGGATACGGAAAACGACGGACTCGCGGTCTGAATACGCGATTTCACGGACCAGTTTTCAGTCAATCAGAGTGCGCGTACTATCTAAGTCATATAATAAAACAAGTTATTTAACGGCTATAGGTCGGTCCGTATAGGAAAACACTGCCCTCGGTCTTTTTATGTACGGATATCGCTGCGCTCGTTCCGTACTGTCAAGACCTCGGGCAGTGTTTTCTTATACGGACCTCCCAGCCGGTAAATTACCCATATATATATATAATTTTCCATGTTTTTAGTTTTTGAACTCAAGCAGGTTTCAATTTTTTAATATCTTTTTATAGTTAAAATAGGAGATTGCCTCAATGCCCACAATGCAAAGCGCAATCTCCACGGAGTTCACAATCTACAATGGGATCGTAATTTGGCACAAGGTGCAGCTGCATGGGCTCTGAAACTTGCAAAAAGCTCCGTGCTAAAGGCCCGTTCAAGTCCAGGAAGCGGTCAGGGATTCCGTGAAAACACTTATTACAGATATGACTCTCCCCCCGGAAAGGTGTCGACATGCCGAGCAACAGTACAGGCRTGGTAAGTGATGTAAAGAAGTGCTTAAATGTGAAATTTAATTTATTTAATAAAGGTTGACGTTTTTTCTATTCACCCTTAGGTACAATGAGAAGAAATATTACGACTTTAAAAGGCCAGGTTTCAAACCGAAAGCTTCTCATTTTACTCAGGTCAGTGCTAGTCGCACTTTCCATCTTCCCCCTCCCCCCCAAAAAAAGGCAGTGGAAACGTTGAAAGTACTTTCAATAACATATTAGATGAATGTGTTGTCACCTAACCTAAAAGGAGTAATATCTTTGCAAATGAAAATGTTTGCACCCTTCCCCCCCTCAAAAAAAGAAACAAACTTGTATACTGATGAAATTTTGGTTTATTCACAACATCAGTTTGGTTCCCATTGTATAATTTCTTATACGGCTCTATTTTGTTGTTTACTTCCAGCTAATATGGAAGAAGACAAGAAAAGTAGGAGTTGGCATGGCCGCCGTCACGCTAAAAGGCTCTAAGACATATACCTTTATAGTAGCAAGGTATTCTCCTCCTGGGAACTTGTACGGGATCTATTCTGATAATGTGAAAGACTTACGTAGCAAAGGAAAGTGCAGAGTCTGCCCAAGTAAGATTTTTTTATGATTTTAAGAATTAATCGTAAATTAATTATAACATCTTAAACTTCTTTAATGGGTACTGTGAATCATAAAAATGGATTATCTTTGGAAAGGATCCTACATTGTAGATTATCAGATAAAAATGCCGAATGCCAATTGTCCATTGGAGACCGAAAGGATTTTGGGTTTTGAGGGATTTTGCTAATTGATGTGAAATAACTGATTAATACTCTAAGATAGTTTGTGGTAAAAATTGAATCTATAAAGTCTCCATTTTCACCCAAGGTGAATCCAAACAAGTGAAATAATGCCAAACATAGTAACCATAGTTACTTTCCGACATGCGTTCTCCTTTCGAAAATCGCCGTTCTGGCGGACAATTAACAAAATGTACAAAATCATTTGTAAAAGTTTATTTTGTWTTATTAACAGCTGATGCAGTGCCGCATTCTAGCCCAAAAATAACCGTTTGTAAGTACAATCTGTATACAATGTATATTTTTCTGTGATTTATATTTCCAATTTCAGCCTTATCCTTATTGCAGACACTGTATTTATCCATAGAAAGAAATTCCACACATAATTGAAACTTTGTTTTCTCTTATTTAAGTTAATTCTGCAAATTGTCTRAAGACWATCAACGCTAAACGTRCTCTGCATGGAGTGCCTAATCTTCGCTGGGACTCTTCACTGGCMWYAAATGCAGCTAAGTGGGCCCTGAAACTAGCAAAGATTTTWAAGAAATCGAATAAGGTGAAGATGCTGACAAGTCCAGGCAATGGCAAAAMATACCGCGAAAGCAGCTATTGGATGAATGCATCAATTGGAAAGCTTGGGACATGCGCAAATGGTGTTAAATTCTGGTATGTAATTCTTGAAAATGTCTGACGAGTAGTGTTGTTTTTTAAATGTTTTGTACTATAAAACTATACTTTTATCTGTCCACGTTATTCTGCAGTGTGCAACTGTGAAAATGTCCTACTTTTTATAAATCCTCTCATCTCCATGTCTGCGCCTACAACGATAAGAAAGTTAGAAGGGACAAAGGATTCAAATGACAGTGAAATGTATGGCAATAGAAATACAAAATGGAGCATTCTGAGAGTTAGAGTCAGTCTCAAATATATCGCCCGATATGCTTTTTAACTCGAAGATTGCGAAGCAATCGAAGAGTTATTGGAGGGGGACGA